GAACAGCTTGAAGTTCAATAAAATGCACATTAAGCGACTGAGTTAATTTAACCTCATTAATCCTCGACCCAATAGAACCATCTAAAGCCTTCCAAGCAGCCTGCACTTCGTCTACAACACAAATATGCCCCCACAGGAAATCAACACCCACGAGAGGATGAGGCTGGAGCTCTCAAGTTGCCTCCATGGTGCAAATGGCTGTGTAATTGCCAGGACCAGGCTCCAATTGCAGCAAAGGGCTCTCTCAGTTGAATCCTTCTGGATTACAGTGAGATGAGCTCTTGAGAAACAAACTTCTCTCTGAACTTTATTTTGGAACTGCTTCTCTTGTGACTAAACATGCTGTAAGTCATCAAACAGCAGCACAATTGTGCCAAACGCTTTCTCTTCATTGTTCAAGAAACATTCAGGGCAGAGAGAACCCCTCTCCATTAAAGTAGAAATTCAACTTGTGTCCTCCTATTCATTCTGCTATGCAAAATTATGGAAGCAGTTGAAACAGTTAATCCTCAGAATTTCATTCACAAAGCCCTGAAACTTTAATTTTTTAATTGTTAACTTAATGACAAAAATAATAAATAAAATGTTAGAAATGATACAGAATTTCAAAAAACAAGATGATAGGAATTCAATAATGGTTGTGATGTTGCACATTGTTGACTTCCAAGTAGTTGCTCAGATTACAAGATATAATAATATAAAGTTAGTCACAATAAAAATTTTAAGCATTGATTCCTTCAAAGAAACAATCATCCTTGCTCCCCTGTGCATACACATTCATGTGATTTTTTCCCTTCTTTCTTTCCTTTCTTTTTCTTTTCCCTCATCCCAATTGTTCTTTCTTTTTGAGCCATTTCCTTCCCTTTTCCTATATCTATTGTACCATTCAGATTTTATTTACTCTTTCAGATTCTTATACTAGGGAGACAATATGATGCTTACAAATGTAAGTCTGATTTATTTCACTTATGAGTATGGCCTCTAGTTGTATCCATTTACCTGTAAAACCCTCAACTTTATCTTTTTTATAGCTGAGTAATACTCCGTTGTATGAAAATAGCTAACTATGGGTTGGCTTGATAGCTTAGCAGACTAAAGCGCCTGCTTAAGCAGAGCGCAGTGGCCAGGGTTGGGTCAATCCCCAGCGTGCCGTGCCATCCCCGTCCTTGCGGTGTGCTGAGACAGTGATTGTGACTGAGCATAGTGGTGCACACCAGTAATCTCAGCACTTGGGAAGTTGGAAACAGGAGAATCACTATGAGTACGATCTATGTAGTGAGACCCTCTCCTAAATACAGAAGTAAGAAAGCAAGAAAGAAAGAAAAAAGAAAGAAGAGAATAGCTAACTTTTTTTAGATGGGCATTTGGATTGTTTCCAAGGTTAATTATCACAAACTGTGCTGCTATAAACATGGATGCACACATTACTGGGGTATGATGTTTTCAATTCTTCTAGAAAAGTACCCTGAAACTTTAAAGCACTATATATGTTAGCAACACAATTTCAGTTATGTTTTGTCAAATACTTGCTGCTATACTTGAGACATTTATTAAATTATTTATTCATCCATTGGTGCTAGGGATTGAAACCAGGGCCTTGCCCTCACTGTGAACGTACCCTACATCCACAGTGATGATGAGCTATCCCTAAACAGTTGAATTTTATGTAATACTATGGGCATTGTATGAATCTTGAGCAAGAGCTGACAAACAATGAGTCTAAAGAAAGGTGCATGACTTATAACACATTTGCTGTTCCTACTTGTTTTTATTTTTTTTTTAAACTGGGATTGAACACAGGACCAGCAAGCACCATGCCGCTGAGCTATATCCTCAGCCCCACGCCAATATTTAATGACATTAAGTCTTCTTTAGTTTTAGGCAGTCTTTAGTTCATTTTCTCTTCACATAACTCTCAAGCAAAAATAAGCAGTTCTATATCTGAATATTTTCTCGTTTCTGTCAAAAGACAGTGAGTGCTAAAATCAAAACAAAAGGTCTGTGCCAAATACACTAGATTTGGTCTAGTTTTTAAAAAGCCACTCAAATTTTTGTGCAGACAGTAAAACTTCCCCCTTTTTAGCTGATGAAAACCTACTATCTACCACCTTGGTAACTTTTTGTAATGAACAAAGCAGATAATTTACTTAAAATCCTTCTGCAATATATACCTACACTCATATAGTTACCCTGTCTTCATAATTTTATGCCACTTGTAATAAGACACACATCAAAAGACAGGTGAAATAGAAGTCAAAGAAGACTTACTTCTCACCAGCACTCCAGGTTACTTCCAAAAAGTTCCTCAGTTACAAAAATAATTTTATAACTTTGTCACCTAGAAACACAGACAAATATAGCCATATAGAACACATCTACAAATATCTACAACCAACTAGCTGATTTAAAATGCAAGCAAAGGGGCCAGGGAGATAACTCAGTAGAATAAGTGCTTGCCTGGCAAGCACAGGGTCCTGAATTCAATCCCTGGTACTGCAAAAAAAGAAAAAAAAATGCAAGCAAAAGAGTTCTTGCAGGCCTAATGCATACTGCCATTAAAAATAACAACACACATGGAATTTAAATTCTTTTTTTTTTTTTTTTTT